TAAAATAAACTGCCTCCCCTTATCTAACTTGGGGCCAAAGAGGGCTGTGAGAACATCAAATTTTTACATCTCAGAAACGTTGAGTGCTTGAGTCTTGGATCCACTGTTGTTTCCAGTGATCTTTACAGCTGAATGATTAATTATGCCCAAGATATTCCAAAGCAATTCTTTAATTATGCCGTGTTGCCGGCTGCCAGCTGTGGAGCAGTAAGAAACCCGTACCCCCGTTTCTCAACGTCTGGCCTTTGGATGACTTAAAAGATAAAAGAAGATATGAGAGCATTTTTATGACCAAGTGACAATTTCTAAAACTTTTCCACTAAGTAAAAAACTTTTATAGTGATTTTTTTTCTCATGATTAGATCATGGTGACGTATTTCACTATCAGTCTTCAGCTTATTGAAATGTGTGCAGACAACAACTGTTACAGGACAAACTGGGATGGCGGCGTTTTCTTTGTAGGGCAGGAAAGCCCGTTTTCTGGCAAATCTGTCATGTGGTGGTTTTATTTCCAGCTTTTTGAGGAACTCCACAACTGATTTCCATAGTGGCTGCACCAGTTTGCACTCACACCAACAGCGAATAAGTATGAGTCCCCTTTCCCACAGCCTCACCAGCAGTTATTGTCATTTGTTTCCTTAACCAGTCGTTCTGACTGGGGTGAGATGAAATCTCAGAGTAGTTTTAATTTGCATTTCCCTGATGGCTAAGGATGTGATCACTTTAATAAATATTTCTTAGAAAGCTCTCTTCAGCTCCATAGCCCATTTTTAATTGGGTTGTTTTTTTAAATTAGTGTTTAGGGTTTTTAATTCTTTATATATTATAGACACTAATCCTCTGTCAGGTGAATGGGGTCAAGAACTCCTCTCTCAAAGTCTGCTGGATCGAAATTCTGTGCTCTGAGATTCTTCCAACTCTGAGTTTACAAACAAATAGCTATGACATCCAACTTAAAATAAATTGCCTCCCTTATCTAACTTGGGCATTCTGTAGGCTGCTTCTTGAGATTACACCTACCAAATGGTTTTATTTCCTGTACAACTGGGGTTCTATTCAGAAAGTCCCCGACACTTTCCTCTAGAAGCTTCAGAATTTGGGATCTAACGCTGAGGCATTTAATTCATTTGGAATTTGTTTTTTGTGTGTGTGCAGAGTAAAAGAAAGGATCAGGTTTCATTCTACGTGTAGATACCCAGCTTTCCCAGCATCGTTTGTTGAAGATGCTATCTTTACTTCAATGTGTGTTTTTGGCATCTTTGTCAAAAATAATCTCAAGATTCCATATGAATCTTAAGATTATTTTTCAATTTCTGTGAAGAATTGCATTGGAATTTTGATGGTGATTGCATTGAATCCGTAGACTGCTTTTGATAGGATGGCCATTTTCACAATATTGATCCTACCAATCCATGAGCATAGGGAGCCTTTCCATTTTCACAATATTGACCCTACCAAGTTTTTATTAGGGAGCCTTTCCATTTGCCAAGGCCACCTGGTCTCTTTCTTCCGTGTTTTAAAGTTTTCTTTGTATCAACCTTTCGCTTCTTTGGTTATGTTTATTCCAATATTTTTGTTTATTTGGTTGGTTGGTTGGTTGGTTGGTTGGTTGGTTTGGGGGGCGATGGGTTTTGATGTTACTGTTACTGTTTTGTTGTTGTTTGAGGCTATCGTGAACGGGCTCCTTCCCTGGTTTCTTTTCCAGTTTATCTTTGGAATATAGGAAGGCTACTGATTTGGGTATGTTTGTTTTGTAACCTGTCATATACAACCAGAAATTCATCTGTTTCTTTTAGATTTTCCAGCTTAATAGAACGTAAATGAAAGCAGTAAAGAGAAAGATTCTGTTTTCTAATCCAATCTGCTAGTCTGTTTCTTTTGATGAGGGAAATGAGACCACGAAGTCAGAGTTATTACTGAAAGACGTGTGCTCTTTCCTGCCATTTGGCCTATTTTGTAGTGTTTAGAGATTTCCTCGTCCTCTTTTGCTTGACAAGTGTCTTAGAGTGTTGTTTGGGGTTAATGTTTGGTTAAGATTCTTGTTGTTCTTTTAATTCAGGTCACCTCTCTTCTTTCAGGGTGCTCAGAAGAGACCAGGTTATAGTATAATCACAGTGAGGTTCTCCTCTGTTAGAACGATGTTCCGGGACCAGGCTCCATCTCCAGCCCCTTTGTGTTGAGTACTGTCTACAGCAATAGTCACTATCCAGCAGTTAACCCACTGATCATAAAGACGCAGAAAAAAGACTACAGAAAGGACTAGAAAACAGATACGTGTTAAATATTGACTGTTTGGGGGGCTAAAGGGACCTGGCTAGTATTGTATAGACTGATATGTTTGTTATGGTATGTGTGAGTGGAAAAGAAAAGAGTGATCACAGTGTGACTAGTGATCAGTACTCAGTTGCTAAGTGAGAAGCAGAGAAGAGGGACATTCACAGGGGTAGGAATAATACGGGCACAGGAAAAAGCAGGTGATGTGGAAGTTTTAATTAATGGTAGACTAAAAAGAATCAGATAAAGACGTATACTCAAATATCATAGTTTGGATCAGTCTCCAGGCTCTGGGAGATATAATTAATAAGAGGAAAGGGTATGAGAAAAAGAAAAACAAAGGAGAGACAAACAGGCAGGCAGACAGATGGTCACACAGACAGAAAACAAGACAGTAATAGGTGTGAACAATAGAGGACAGGCAGTGCGGCTGCGTTGACAGGGTAAGAAATCGGGGAACAGAAGCCGAGTAGGGACACAAGACCGTGAAACCAGTGGCCTGGAGGTTGCATTTCGTCTCCTCTGCACATCCTGGGTGGACTTCCTAGCTCTGCTCCCGGTATCCTCCATGTTGATTTTACTTCCTGTTCCTCTCTTGTGGATTCCTAGCTCCGTGCACTTCAGTGTGGCATTTTCTTGAAGAGCTGTCTGGCTCTGTTCTGTGAGTGGGGGATAACTGAAGTAAACTGCCCAGCTGGCTTGCTGGGATCTACAGAGCTAGTAGCAGGGTGGTTGGTTATGTGGAACCCAAGTCACAGTTAGGTTGCTTATACTTAGTTCCCACAGTCTGCTGTTCCCCTTGGGGTGCTGATGGTGATCCCAATGGTACCTGCTGTGGACGTGCTCATAAAATCCTTATTAGCACAGCTTTTATAGACTTCCCAGCCAGACATGGTGGTACATACCTTTAATCCCAGCACTTGGGAGGCAGAGGCAGGCAACTCTCTGTGAGACTGAAACCAGCCTGTTCTCCATAGTGGGTTCCAGGCCAGCTGTCTCAAAAACAAACAAACAAACAAACCATCCAGCCAGGTGTGGTAGCACACACCTTTGATCCCAGTACTTAGGAGGCAGAGCAGGAGAAGGATCTCTGGTCAGTAGACCTTAACATACGTGACAGAATGCATGAAATCCAGCAGGGGACACTATAAAGGGGTTTCAGATAAGGGAGGGGTCTAAATATGGCCAAGATGTATGAAATGTGCAAACATTCAATAAAACATTTTAAAAGAAAAGTTAACACCTCAAAAATTAATTTAAAAACAAAGTTTTCACTGTAGAGGTTTTAAAAAGGGGGGTCTGGCTTATCAAACCTCAAGGCCAGCCCCCAGTGATCCACTTCCTCCAGCAAGGCTCACAAACAGCGCCACCAACCAGGAACCAAGTGTTCAAACACCTGAGTCTGTCGGGGGACAGTTTCATATTCAACCCACAGCAAAGACTAACTTAGGTTCTTTGATTTGCATGTCTCTCACAGATTAAATGAGAAACACAAAATAATACAAGTCTTCTGAATGTCTTCAAAGATTTAGAGAACGTGTCTGATCTTTTAGTTGTAGGAATTGTCTTCTGAAGAAGACAGGGAGATTTCCTTTCCAAGTTGCGCCTGCTAATTCAGATGTATTTATTGGCAGGTCAGATCTTTCCGCCAGACTCGCTTCCCCAGCAATCTGTCTTTGAGATAATAAAAAGAAAAAGAAAAGAAAAACGGGGAAAAAACACAGGAAGTCAAAATGTAGTCTCTTCTTTACTATAGAAATATTTCAAACATGAAAAATCCCAAGATGTTAGCTTTCAAACAATTTGCAGAGTGAATCGGTGCCAACCCAGGGCACAGAAATGTCCTTTCCTACTAAAGTCTGAAAATAAAAATAAATTGAGATTCTCCTTTCAGTCTCTCATTCATTAAGAACTGTATCTTGGGCCTGGAGAGACAGTTCAATAGTTAAGAGTACCGAATGCTCTTGCAGAGGACCAGCGTTCAGTCCTCAGCACCCACATGATGGCTAACAACTGTCTGAAACTCCAGTTCCAAGGGATCCATCACCCTCTTCTGACCTCTGAGGGCATTGCAGGCACAGGTGCACTTACATACAAGTAGGAAAACATTCATACACATAAAATAAAAATAATTAAATCCAAAAAATTTTAAAGACCTTTAAAACAAACAAACAAAAAAAAATAACTGTATTTTGGAGACTGGAAAGTTGGGTCAGTGGTTTAACAATACTAGCTGCTCTTCCAGAGGACCTGAGTTTGGTTCCCAACACCCATGTCAGGTGTCTCATAACAACCTGTCTCATAACCATCCCAGGCACACCAGGTACACACACACACACACACACACACACACACACACACACACACACACACACCGGCACATAAATAAAAGTAAAAAATCTTAAATGTATCTTAGGGAGGGACTGGAGAGATGGCTCAGCAGTTAAGAACACTTGCTGCTCTTGCAAAGGACCCAGGTTCAGTTTCCAGCACCCACATGGCAGCTAACAATCATCTGTACTCCAGTTCCAGGGGATCCTACACCCTCTTCTGGCCTCTGCTGGCATTGTATGCACATAGTGTACTTACATACATGCAGGTAAAACACTCATATACATAAAAAAATAATGTAACAAAGTATTTTTAAAAGAATGTTTAAAAATGTATCTTAGCCATAAACAAGGAACTGTCCTTAAAAATTAATATTTTTATTACTTTTTCAATAGGGGACTTATCATGTTTGAAAACAAAACCTACATCTTAGAACCACTGAAAAACACCACCGACAGATACAGTCTCCTCCCCGCTGAGAACCCGAGGGCCATTCGAGGGTCGTGTGGGTCCCATCCTGATAGGTCCAGCTTTGCCATGGAAGATGTCTCCTCTGCATCCTCTCCAGTTTGGGCAACAAGGGTAAGAGGGAAACTCAAGTTCATGTTTCTGAGGATCTGAGGGTTCATGGCAGAGACACAGCACTGGGAGGTCTGGGGCATCCTTGTCACTGGGTGTAGCACTGAGGGAATAGGAAACTCATTCCTCAGGAGATAGCAGGTCCTGGACCGAGTATGGACAGACACCCAAGTCCCCACCACTTTCCTGCAGCCTTAGGCTCATTAACATATGCTGGGTAAAGCCCCATCATCAGTGTCAGGGGATGGGAATGCCACGGTGGGCACATGCAGTGGGTTAGAACTAGGGTCAGACATCTGATGGCCAACAGACAAGCATATTCTTTCTCTCTCTCTCTCTCTCGCTCGCTCTCGCTCTCTCTCTCTCCTCTCTGCCTCTGTCTCTGTCTCTTCTCTCCTCTCCTCTCCTCCCCTCCCCTCCCCTCCCTTCTCCTCTCCTTCAAAGCAAAGGGACATGTTCCACCTTCACGCACCCACATGTGCAGAGAACTGCTGATCCCAGGGCCTTTGCTAAGGTGTCCTGCCTGTCCCCAGGCCACACTGCTGTTCTTCACCTTGCCCTCCTGGGACTGCAGCAGCCTTGTCTGGCCACCTGTCCTGGCTCTTCTACCGCAGTGCCGAGTTGTCCAGGGAGTCCTGGCCACCAACAGATTTCCTTCCCTGACCCTTCCCATGGTGCTCTGGACACCTGCACCTTGCCATCCATGTGGGCTGCACAAGTCGCAGTGTAACACTGTCCTCTACTAGGCTAGAGACCCTGAAATTAACCACAACCAGAGAGGAAATGATCAATGATGTCCTGGTGTGTGTGTGTGTGTGTGTACGCACGTGTGTGTGTGTGTGTGTGTGTGTGTGTGTGTGTGTACTTCTTGTCCTTTAATTGAGACAAAATATTTAAAAATCAATCATATGGTATCACCCATGCTGACATTTCACTGCTGGGGACAGTGACAATGACATGTTCTTCATGTCCTTCAATATATTTTTGTCTTTCCCAGCTTTGAGATAAGAGCATACGCCTAACATCCAATGATATCTATCATTCATCGTGTCCTCCTCATCCTCCTTCCCCTCCTCCTCTTCCTCCTTATCCTCCTTTCCCTCGTCTTCCTCTTCCTCCTCCTCTTCCTCCTCCTCCTCCTCTTCTGTTTTCTTTATTGCTATGGTGAGGATAGAAACTAGGACCTTCGTCAGGTGCTCTACCACTGAGCTATACCCAGAACCCAAGTTATTTCCAGCGATGACGCCATCTGTGGGTTGTTACTGCAGTGTAGCAGGAGGACCAGGGAGTGTCAGTGTTGGTCCCTGCATGCGTTCTGTGTCGTCACAGTACTAAGAATGCTGTGACCACCCATCCAGTCATTTGGCTTCTCCAACTACATTGGATTCCTTCCTTCCTTCCTTCCCTTCTTTTAGAAGTACTGGGGACTGAACCAGGGTCTTACACACTAGGCCAAGTGCTCTGCTGCTGTGCTGTGCCCGTGCTCCTCTAAATCCTCTCTCTGAACTCAAACTGCAAGAGATGCTCCATGATTCCATCCACTTCCTGGGATTTTCTTTGTGTCTGTGGAACATCTGATCCCCTGAATGACTCTTGACTGACCCAGTTCTGGACTCGGCCTTCTCTGCCCAGATTTTCTGCCATGAGACCTTATTCCCCTTCACGAGGGATCCCAAGATTGTCCATGAACAATGTTTCTTTTCCTGCCTTCTCACCACAGACTGTCCCTCTAGTTCTTTGGCTCACCTAACATTGATGCATTAGACATCGGGGTGGGAGCTGTATCTGAATCCCCAGGGAGCTTAAAAGAACCCAGAAGTAGAAGAGATAGAGTTACACCCCTGCAGTCCTAGCACATGGGAGGGTGAAGGTAGAGGGATGCAGAGTTCAAGGTCATCCTTAGCTGTAGAACTGGTTCAAGGCTAGCCTGGGCTATATGAGATCCTGCCTCAAACAACAATAAAAAGGGGGACTGGAGAGATAGCTCAGTCAATAAAGTGCTTGCACACTTGAGTTTAATCCCCAGAACCCACATAAAAAGGAAAAAAAGCCAAGCATGGTGGTGCTAATGTATAATCCCAGCTCTGGAAAGATGTAGACAGGTAGATCCCTGGGAGTCCCTGGGCCAGCTTATGAGTGAGTTTCAGATTCAGTCAAAACTGCTGTCTCAAAAAATAAAAATGTGAGTGATGTGTCCTGAGGGACCATACCTGAGGGGGACTTCTAGCATCCACATACCTGCACGCACATGCACCTGCATGCACATACACATGTATACACACACACACACACACACCAGCTCTGGAAGTCATTCCCTCCTCCATTTCTCCCCTCTTGAGAAACACATTTAAGGGATAGAATCACACAAGGAGCCTCTGAAATTCTGCGTGTTTATCTCACTCTCCAGACCTGCCTTTGCATGCAGACGTGGCTTAGTTGTGATGGAGCTGCAGTTTATCCATCATAAACAAGAAGGACATTTGCATTCTGTCTTCCAGGCTCTTGACTTTGGCTACCAGGTTGAATGCCTGTTACCCACGTTTTGTGGTTTATAACGACAATTTAAGTAATACTCGTTTGTCCGCTGATTCATTTAGAGCCGCAAGCTTGATCTGTATTTACTGGCTATGTTTTACTTCTTTAAGTGCACACAGCTCCCTGGCACCGTGATTGGCACCGAAATTTCGAGTCACGTTGACTCGGAGAGGAATGAGAGATCCTGCCCCAGGATGTTGTTTTGCTAATAATGTAAATGTGAAGTGTAAATGAACCTTTAAATGGAAAAGGGAGGCATGGGCGCTGTTCACTTCCATGCCATTGTTGCTCTGGAAATCGTCATGATCGTTTTTACACAAGAGAAAAGAAGTCCTTGACATAAACTCTGAGTAATCATGAAAATGATACAAAAAATGAATTTCAAGTAGGTGGAATGCTTGGCGAGTGCAGGCGCCTAGATGTTTTGGATGGTGCCTATGAGGGAGAGGAGAAGCACATTTCGAGTCTGACCGCTTGCCTCACTATACTGCCTTTGTTTTATATTTCTGGAAAAAAATCAATGGAACCGCAGCTAATTAATCTTATTTACGTGGCACACAAGTGTGTCTGCTCTCCTCCAGTGTGCTCCTGACCCTCCTAAATGTTAGCTACTGCAACCTCTCTGCAGATGTCTTTGCATCTTATGGGGCATCAGGAATCACTCTGATCTCAGTGCACACCCACTATCATATACAGCCAGCTAGCGTTTGTCACTTTTATAAGACTCTACATTAGATTGTAGTGCTTGCCCCCATTGCTTCTGGGGATTTTACATCTGGCCTGAAGTCCCCAGCTGCTCAGTGCACCTGCCCAGACACTTTCCCTCTCCAAGAGCCCTGCCTTCAAGAACAGAGAGGAGTATGGGACATAGCTCAGTTGGTAAAGTATTTGCATACCATGCACAAAACCCAGAGTTCCATCCCTAACGTTGCATAACTGGATGTGGTGGTGCATGCCTGAATCCCAGTACTCTGGAAGTGGAGACAAGAAGATCAGGAGTTCAAGGTCACCCTCAACCACATAGTAAGTAAAGGCTAGCCTAGGCTACATAAACCTTGGCTCAAAAAAAAAAAAAAAAGACTAGAAAGGAATTTTAGTCACCTCTGCAAGCTTTATGAGAGACAAAGGCTATGCCTGCTGATGAGGAAAATCAGGGCACTTATCCCAACAGCAGAGGGAGTTATTGAACTTCCCTCTCTATATGTTACCTGCACCATTGCCCCTCTCCATTAGCACGGAGAACTATGGGTCTAATATACATGTTGCTGGGTCCTTTGGGAAGAAATGACGCCTGGCTTCTCGGGTGCATAGAGGACAGCCAGGCAAGGAAAAGCCGCTGGGTACCTCAACACAGGTTCGCTGGCACAGCCAGATGCCATGCAGCGAGGTGCATCTGTTTTGTGGGGGCCACAGCACGGCGGCAGCCAGGGCATCATGCTAATTATCCGTACAAGGTGTGCCTAGCAAGAGTGAATCTCAGAAGTGGTCAGAGCCATCTGCAAGCACTCTGACAATGATGCTCTTAATCCCTCCCTGACATAACACCTCCACCTCCATACCCACCCTAAAAGGCCATATCCTGTTCTTACTTGAGAGAAGTGAGGGACAGAAAGGCAGCAATGCTTCCTGGGCTCAGAATGTCTGTTATGATAGTTAAGGCTTGACATTACCCAGCACTCCCTCCTGTCAAGCCCTGGGTCCATTAAACCTCTAGATACGGAAGGAAGAGATCCTTGTGCCAGTGGCTCTGGGGAATCGAGGTCACTATTTCCCTTCTGTCCCTATTAACGTTGAATCCATCGGGTTCAGCCCACTCTCCTGGTATGTTGTCTTAACTTGTTGATTCGGCCAGCCCACAAGTTACCCAGGCCTCAGAGGTTCCAGGAGGTCACGTGCATCCTCACTACAAAGCCACTGTTAAGCACTGGAGGATGGCCTCATGGCAGAGGGCAGCCTCCACCTGTCCATGAGCATAACCTACCTGAGAGTCAGGCAGGTGCTGTCCTTGCACAGGAAGATGACGCGTCCATGTGCTGATCTTGCCGGCCCTGGGTCCACTGCTGTAGCTGTTTACTGTTGCCTGGTTATATCACAATCAACCTGAAAATGCTTGAACACCTCTACCATATCCATCCTGCCTACCACAAGCCTTCCCCAACTTCTGCCCAGGTGGTACGCAGCCTGCCCATTGCATTTCCAGCATGCCCTCCTGGCTCGATAGTGTGTGTGTGTGTGTGTGTGTGTTCACATATGTGCAGATACCTCGGTCCTGTGCAGATACCAGGTCCACCTGTTTCTGCTCCCCTTCTCTGGGGTCACAGATTCCCACCATCCTGTCTTATTTTTTCACCTGGGCTCATGAGATTGAACTCAAGTCCCCATACTCACAGGGCAAGCACCTTTCTGACCAGGCTGTCTTTCCAGCATAGAGTGATCATTTTCAGACCTCACATCCTAGTGTCCTTAGATTCTTAGACCCCCACTCAGCCTTCCTGCTGAGGCCCTGGCTCTGTCCCTGCCTTCCACCTGCTCAGCCACACTATGACCCTCCAGTCCAGGCTTTCCTCAGCCTCAGGACTTGGGCTGTCACTACTCAGTCTACCTTGAACACTGTGCCAACACCATCCCCCACACACCTGCTTCTCAGCTCCCTTAGCCTCCCAAGCACCCACCCTTATCCTCCTGGTAAAACCCTCTTTGTTTCCTTCGTTGCAGTTTTCATGGGCTTCTTTCTTTTTGTGAAGTCTTTATTTGCCCATCCAACTAGAAGACGAGCTTCACGCAGGCAGTGATTGTGATCTTGTCCTTCCCTGTATCCCCAGCATCTAACTCATCAGTACACAGCAAGCTCCCAGAAGATGCTGTGGGTGAATGAGTTTTACAGACAGTCTGACCATAGGAAGACAGGATTGCATCCAGAGCTCACTGGAACCCCAGCCTGCCATTAATTTCCCAGCTTGAATTAAAATCTCCATGTGGAGTTCACAGCAGGCCAAATGGGGGTAGGCAGCCTCTGGGAACTTGGCTGGATTGACTTTCAGAGCCCCAGGAACTAGTTTCTTGTTTAGCAAGATTCAAGACTGTCTCTGTTGGAAACATCTCATTCATGCTTCCAAGTGAAGCCAGACTTGGTCGAGCAGAACCTTTGACTTATCTGCACATAGATGGAACTGGTAAAAGAAAGGAGCCAGGGGCTCCTCCCAACCCCATGGGACCCCTGACGAAAAAATCCTCTAATGACCTTAAGTGTGAAAATAAATTATTTGGGCCAACTGTATGGCCTTAAACACCCAAAGGAAAGTATAACCAAAGAGTAAAGTCATCAGTATGTTTCCTTAGGAGTTCAAGGGATTATACTTACCAGACATTAGGCTTAAGCCTATATAAAAAGTTATTTAGAGAATTATTTCTCACTGATGATTTTGTTCCTAACCAGAAAGTGCTGCTCAGATGTAAGACTTCAAAACTTGGTCTCCAATACTGTAGTGCCCACCTGTAGCTAAAGGAGACAACCAGCTGTTGTTCTAAAATGATGGATAAATTTGTTTTCTCCCTTTGAGAGGGAACTGACACTGATTCTAGCCAATACAACAGCTATCAAAATACCTGAAAGCAAATCCTGAATCCATCACTCTAGGGTCCAGCCTTGGCAGACAAAAGAAAAATGAGGAACCCAATAGAGGGATGCTTTTGGAAGCCCTTGTCAAGAAATTCCAATGGACTCTCATATCAACATTTGAAAATTGCCCTGTTCTGACTTTCTTCTAGTTCTCTGGCTAGGACTTGTAATACTAATTACTCTTGCCTTTACTTCTCCTTCATATCTCCTATTCATGATTCAAGGACTTTCTTTTCCCCCTAGAGATAAGAGTTATGCAATTTGGGAGTCTTTTAGATAGACCCACTGAAGGGGTACTCCAATTGCCTCACCCTGCATCCCTGTTCAGCATGGAAGAAGCCAGAGCGGTTTGTGTCCCTGTTTCCTATTGGCAATTTGGGTAACCTCTTCAGAGGATGGTGTGATAAGAATAGGATGTAAGAATTGGGTAGGCAGTTAGGGTAAAAAGACCCCAAAGAAACGTAGCCAGTTTCTTGGCTAAAAGTCAAAATGTCCTTGGGTCCCTTAGCAACATACTGTGTTCCAAAGGCCAAAAATGTCAGAAGTATTTGGGAGCTTGTATCTAATCCTTAAAAGATTTTAGGGTTTCCTCTTCAGAGAGGGGAATGTTAGAATAGCCAAAAGCCCCATAAAAATAAATAAATCCAAGAAGAAGAAAGAGCACATGAAGTTATCAGAAAAAAGTGATGGGGCGATATGGGAGGAGTTGGAGGGGAGGGAGTGGGCATGGATTTGATCAAAGCACCTTATATGCATGTATGAAATTCTCAATAAATTATTTACTTAAAAAAAAAAAAAAAGAACGCCTCTGTCCCCACCTTGGAGCTGAGACCATTGGACCATTTTCCGAGACTCAGGTTCCTGTTTGAGGTCAGGCTTTTGTTCACATCCCTGAAAAACGAAAATCCAGCCAAACAACCAGCTTCCAATATTGCTGCCCGTATCAAAATTTTAAATAGTTTTATTTTTTTTAACTGGACAGCTTAGCTAGGTGGAGATCACATGGAGGTAATTTAAGCCTCTCTTCAGCAGGGAACTGGCCACTCCCCTGTGGCTTTTCATTATGATGTGGTTAAACTTCTCTCCGAGCTTGTAATTCTCTGAATTCATGAGAAAATGTGGATGTCTCTGAAAACTGCAGAGACAGGAAAATTGTGTTCATGTGTTTGTTTTCATTATCTGGAATTGCGTGTTTTCTAAACGATGGTCCAGGGCCGGTTGGAAATGCCCTCTGACCGTAGATTTCACCCTCTGCATCCTGAAAGGCATAAACGTCTCAGCAGTCAGAGCTGTCCATGAGTTTTTTGATGGGAGATTATTTCATTTCTACATTTCCAAAGCCATATTTTCCTTTGCGTAATTAGCTGTTTGTTCATGGTTGATCAGAGAATTGTGGGATGCGGTGGGGTGCGGTGGGGCCCCTACGGAGATGGCTCAGTCAGTAAAGTGATTACTGTGCAAGCATGAGGACCTAACTTCTGATCTCTGATGCCCATTTAAAAAGCAGGGTGCTGCAGGACATGTCTGTAACCCCAGTGCTGGGGGAGGAATGGAGACAGGTGGCTCCCAGGCTCACTGGCCAGGCAGTTTGGCAGAAATGATGAGTTCCAGGTTCGCTGAAGGACCACGTCTCAAAGAACAAGGACAGGATAGAGGAAGGCACCTGACAAGACCCCTGATCTCCATGTGCGAGCACACACACGTGCACACATCCACACACTCACAGAAACACACACAGAAACACATACATATCCATACAACACAGAGAGAGAAAGAGAGAGAGAGAGAGAGAGAGAGAGAGCTTCTGCTTCTTGACCCCTCATTTCCAGAAGTGTCTCATTTTGTACGAACGCGTGGGCGCTGCAGGAACTGCCTGTTTGCCTTTATGAATATGTAGTTATCACCATAAAGCCTGCCTGCACATAGTTACAAGCCTGCCTTTTTTCTCCTTGCAGCACTGTAAAAGCGTGAGAAATTATACCTTTCACGGTGCTTTATTTTTCTTCCTTCATGAGGTTTCCAGATTTCTTTAGGGACACCTAAATTCATGAATCAGCACAGCTGGGCAGCAAGCAGGAACACCACTATAATACAAACATTTTTCTTGTAAAAATCTGTTTGGAAGATCCTGGACTGATGGAGATTTGTCTTATGAAAGATGTTTCCGTCAGGATTCTATGACTGGAAACCTGATTCAAAGCATGCCTTCATCCCTTTTGCTTTCGTCTGGACGAGTGGTTGTAACATGCGAGTTCTCAACTTAAGCCCTGTATGGACTTAAGTCATAAACCAGCAATGTCAGTAGGGAGGACCAGAGACCAGCTGACCCCCCACTTCCTCCAACTGTGTATTATTGCAGAAACAGAAGGCTTGGCTTTTTTGTTTTCAATGTTTGCTTTTGGAGACCACCCTCCACGAATTGCTTTATTTCTCAAAAAAAAAAAAAAAAAAAATGCCTTTGGGATCCTCCCAGTAATTCACAGAAGAGTGCAAATGCTTTCCCAGAAAGCTTGATTAAAACATAACCCACCTCAAGGCCATCTTCTCATGACTCACCTCAGAGGCCATCTCATTTGGGATCCGTATCTCTGCTGCTGACTGCTGCCATCCCTGAACTTTCATGGCCGGTTTCCATGCTCTTCGCGCTTCTCATCTCTCAGCAGACCCAGTGTCATAGTCCAGGCTTCTCTAAGGAATGCTGTTCTTTCTGGTCTCTCTCTTCTGGCTCCTCTTTTCTCTCCCTTCGCCTCTTTGCCCCCCATCCTGGCTGTTCCCCTTTCTCCAGATCAACCTAGTCTTCCATTGCTTCAAACTAGATGTTTAAATGATGGGCCACAAGCACCTGCTCCCCGGAAAGAGGTCAGCAATTCCCCAGGGATCGCACAGCTTCTCTTCAGTGTGTTCTCTTTCCTCAAACCATGGAGCACACACATATGGCCGTAAAGGTAAAAGAAACACTTGTGACAGGCTGGACTCTACCATTGCCTTGAGTGAGCGTCACATTCATAGGCGGTCTACCTCAAGTAGCCTTGGTTCCCATTCTAGAATGTACTTTGAGATCACTTGTTTGTTAATGTGTTCGTTTTGTTTAATAATGACTTCGGTTTCTTTTGAACTTACAATCAGTGTTTCAGCAGGAAGATGAACTCCTTTTTAGGATTTCCCACCTGGAAATGGAAACCTGTCACTCACATTGAGGTTTTACAAAAAGATAGGTCTTGGAGATTAGTTTCTGAATGGTGCAGAGGTATCGAACCCGGGAGAGGTAGAATCACCCCTTCAAATATAGTGATGCTGTTTCATTTTGTTTACTTTTATTTTTTTGTGAGGCATTCATGATGTTCCAGAAGCTTCATGAAGTATTAAGAGAAACTAAACTCTTGCTTACTTTTGGCAGCATAAAAGAGAGACCCTTAAGATGACCAAGTATGTAGAGTTGGTTATTGTGGCGGACAACCGAGAGGTAAGGACTTGAAATTCCTTAGTGTGCTAAGTTTAAAGAAGCAGAGCAAAGATGCAGAAGTGCTGAGCACCTTGTCACTTACCACTGTGTCACTTACCACCTGTTCCAATTCCGTGTCTGTGTGTTCTTAAAAGCCTTGGAAACAACCCATTGAAAAAGGATTTTTCTCATCTGATGAAGCACAGAATATTTTAAAATGCATCCGATGTAATAAAACAATAAAAAGGGGCCCCAAAACAAACTCAAAAGAAGAAGAAGAAGAAAAAAACACAATTTCTTTGTAGCTAAACTCTCTAAATAAGGAGAGGTACTTAGGGGAAATGGATTACTTTATAATATTTGGGGGGTGCGGGGAACCAAAGTATATAAAATGGCCAATGCATCCTAATCTGAAGGAAGAAAGAGAGGGAGGGAGGGAGGGAGAAGGAAGGAGGGAGAAGGAAGGAGGGAGGGAGGGAAGGTGGAGGGAAGGAAGGAAGGAGGAGGAGGGAGGGAAGAAGGAAGGAGGGAGGGAGGGAAGGAAGGAAGGAAGAAGGAGGAGGGAGGGAGGGAGGAGGGAGAGAGGGAGGGAGGAAGAAGGAAGGAGGGAGGGAGGGAAGGAAGGAAGGAGGGAAGGAGGGAGGGAAGGAAGGAAAGGAAGGAGGGAGGGAAGGAAGGAAGGAGGGAGGGAGGGAAGGAGGGAAGGAAGGAAGAAGGAGGAGGAGGGAAGGAGGGAGGGAGAGAGGGAGGGAGGGAGGGAGGGAGAAGGAAGGAAAGGTTATATAGACATGTGGCAAAGAAATCCTCCCCTCAAGATATAGCTTGGTTCTTTTTTTTAAAATTCATTTTGAATTAATTTCCTTTTAGATTAGCTTCTGTTTTTCTTACTGTCTTGTCAATGTATTATGAGTCAGGTGGCTTTTTCTCCCAAGTTCACTCAACACACACTAGTGAAACAGGCTTGACAGTTTCTCAGAAAACTCACCCCACCCTGGAAGGCCAACTCGGAGAGCGGGGAGCGTACTAACTTTTTCCCTCTCTCCTCCTTCTTGTTGAACTCGCTGCCATGAGTGTCCCTTGCTTTTCCTATTTAATTTTTTAAAAAAACAAGTACAAAGGAAATTTCTCAGGAAGTTAAAATCAAGCTGATGATATGAAAAATGGCTTTGGACTGCCCGTTTGTTGTCCATTTTTTCTTTGCCAAAACACGTTCCTGCCTCCATCATTTATGAGGCTGGAAGCGTGCAGAAGTTACTGTCTCATGAGTGCTTGGCCTGGGTGAGTCGCAGGGAGTTACAGGGACTCCGCATTGGGGGAAATTACCTGGCAGGATATGAATGCCTTACACTGTAAATGTGGAGGGCCCCAGCGGTGCAGGGCATCTCCAAAGCCCAAGATTTCACATTTCAGGAGCTGGGAGGAGACTTGATTGATATTCTCACTGTTATTAATGCTGACATTTAAAATTGTTCAGTTTCAGAGGCAAGGAAAAGATCTGGAAAAAGTTAAGCAGCGATTGATAGAGATCGCTAATCATGTTGACAAGGTAAGTTCTTTTTCAGGTAATTAAATCATTCAGCATTTGGAAATGAGGTTGGGAGAACTGGTGTAGTTCATCTGACTGTGCAAGGAGACTGTGGTCTGCCTCTGGGTCCTCCAAGTACTCATCCTCTGAGCAGGTGCTTTCTAGGTCCTGAGCGGCTTTGGGGGATTCCAGCCCTAGGTAATAGGGTGGACTGTGGTGGCCTTGGGGACTCAACTTCCTGTAGGACCTCAGCTGGCCAGGAAGTAAGTGTTCCACTGTACAGGAATTTTAGACTCCCCATTAGGTATAGATCCCTGTAAGTACACAGAACCTTTGAGAATTTCCTAGCTGGACCTCTTCCCTGCTCACCAGTGCTGGTACCCATAGTTCATCCCTGTTTCAATGTGGTCTGGAGCATGGACTCACATCTACAAGAGACCTACAAGCTCTACCCTCCAGGAATACAGAAATTGACTTTTACGTCAATCACTGTGTTACATTTTTGTCAATTGTTGTGATAAACACTTGTAAGAAACAATTTGAAGGATGAAACATTTACTTTGGCCTATGGTTCTAGAAGCTTCTGCTGGCTCTATTGTTCTGAGCCTGAGGCAAGGCAGAACATCATGACAGAGAGGGCCTCATGGAACAAAGTTACTCGCCTCACAGTAACCAGGAAGCAGAAAGAGAAAGGAAGGGGCCAATGGCAAGCACATCTTTCTAGAATACACCATTGAGACCTGCTTTCTTCAAGTAGGTCTGACTTTTCCTATTACACCATCCAGGTATTGCTCCATCCGGGAAGTAATCATTTGATTATGTCAGAGTCTTCATGATCCAATCACACCTCAATAATTGATTCAATTTTCTGTCCAAACCATGACAAGCAACTATTAGAAAATCTCGCATTAAGAACAAGTAAGGAACCCGCTCCCACTTTTACAAAGATGATTTCTGACTGGAAGAGCCCCTGGCAATCTGGTCCAGTCTGGGGTCTTTGGTCACAACATCTCCTTGTACTGCCCACTGGCAAGGAAGTAGTGATCCTGTCAGTTTAAAGCACTCTTCCTCCATTGACACTTGCTGGACAAGAACGGGGCTGTTTGGGGGTGAACGCTCGCCCCCCACAGAAGGGCTCTCTCAGTGACTTACACGAGTGTGGCAAGGGGCGGGGAGGGGGCCTTCCGGAGCATTTTCTGACTGCTTCTCTGCTGGCAGGGGTGATGCTGAGCCTGGACAGCAGCATGTCCAGACGCTCGCTAGAGATTCTCACATTCTACATGATTGGCAACTCCAGGCCCAAATGCCTAGCTTCTCAGAAGTAACACATCTCCTACCTACAAGAAGCAAGGCCTGGACATAGCCAAGCCTTTCACAGCCAGGCTTCTCTGACATGGCCACCTTTTACACAGAGCAGTTCGGAAGGGTGTCGCACTACAGCTTTCTTTCTGAGCAATTCTCTTCTGATCAAGTTTTATTTTGTACATTTTCCTAAAAGGGAAGTCAGAGACCCTTCCATAAATTCATCTCCATTCTACATCCTTCTGCATTGTATTGAACTGTGTGCATCATGAATTCAACACGAATTGACATGGATACTCTGCTTACAATCACAGGGAGTTACAAGCAGAGAGACACACACAGATGCCGGCAAATATGTCAAGGACAGCATAGGGGTTAAAGCTGGTCACAGGGGCTAAGGATGTAAGTCAGTGGGTAGAGCACTTGCCTCACAAGCATGAAGCCCTGGGTTCCATCCCCAGCATCATATAAACTGGTCATGGTGACACATATGCCTGTAATTCTAGCACTTGAGAGGTGGAGGCAGGAAAGATCAGAAGTTCAAGGTCATCTTGATAGGCCAGCCTGGGCTTCAGGAAACCTGTCTCAAAAAAATAAGTAAAATGTGATAGCTTGGATCACAGCTCAGGCTGGATGTTAGAATTCTCTGGGATGTTTTGTTTGTTTGTGTGGCTATTCCTAGATCTCAGCCTAGGGACTCTGATCTGATTGACCCAGGGTAGAGCTTGGCACAGGTTTCACCCAGGGTCCTCCTTAGAATAGGTAGGACAAGATTAAGATACAGAGATAGAAGGGTGAAAAGTTTAGATACTTAATCTAGGAGCCCAGGCCACCACGCCAAGGTGAGCAAGGCAGACTACTGCCTGAACAGCCCCTCATTTCCCTCAGGCTATACCAAAAGGAATGAATGAGAGCTCCTCTTGGGCCTAAGAAGTACAGAGAAATGATGAGGTATTTTAAAGCCAAACTCAAAATTGCTGAAATCCCGTTTTTAAAAGTGATGAGTTTGGTCTGCGTTTGTTTATCTTCACATAGTACTCTAGGTTGCATCTTGCTCGGTTTGCAAAACTAAAAATGAGTCATTGGGGGTTTGTTAATAGCTTGTGCTGGTGGTTAAAGAAGATGCCTCTGAGAGGCCTGGTGGGCTTGACCAAGTGTGCCAGCCTGGCTGAAGGGAGGGCACAGCCAGTTCACTGAGCAAGTAGACTCATTTAGCCCTAGTATTCCTATCTACCCCTCAGCAGCCCCCAGAGACCCTGGTGGAGACACTCAGGCCCCTTGAATGACTCTCCATCCAAGTCTGTTGACCGATGGCTCAGGCTACATTGAACGTTCCAAATTTCCATTTTGCAACTTTGCTCATGGGAGAGTCTCAGCCCAAAGCTCAGTGACTGTCCCAGTGGCCACTTCTTCATTTGTTAGCATCTTGGCTCCGCCAGGCTGTTAAATTAATAACCACTTGGCTGCACTGGCTTGTAGAGAGAGCCAGGAAGACCGAGCTTGGAGAGAAAGGAAGGAAGTCCAGACCCCGGACTGGAAGACAGAGGACCAACTGCGACAAAGGTGTGGCTCTGAAACATTCAGGCAAAACTGATAACAGAAGCCGAACACGTGTCTGATGTGCCTGCTTCCAGAAAAATCTGAGGCATTCTTCCCAGCTCCTGGATTACACAGCTGCAGGAGTGGCAGAGGGGACATTCGTCACCTGAAGCTTCAGCTCTGAACCTATCACTCCAGCCCATCCATGAACTCACTGTGTTCCTTCAGCCCTCTCTGCTCACATGCCCATCCCTTTGCTTTCCCCTAGCCAGTATCCTAAAGGATGAAAGCTTTCCTGGGGCCCCCCATTGCTTATCCACTCCTCCCAGAAAGCCTTCTTTTTCTTATTTTTTTATATTATTTTTATTTTATGTGTATGAGTGTATTGCCTGCATGTGTGTGAGTGCACCCACATTGTGCAATGTTCGTGGAGGTCAGAAGAGGGCGTCGGATCCCCTGGAACTGGAGTTACAGATGGTTGTTTGCTGCCATGTGGGTGCTGGGACTCGAACCTGGGTCTTCTGCAAGAGCAGTCAGTGCTCTTAACTGCTGAGCCATCTCTCCAGCCCTTCAGAAAGCCTCCTTTAGCCTCTCCAGTACAGCATCCCCTGGACTTCCTGTGGGCCCATGGCTCAGCAGGACCCTGTTTCAAAATTAACTGGAATCATGGCAGCATGCCCCATGCCTTAAGCCTCATGGTGACCTCTGAGTGGCTGAGCACCGGTGAGGGCGTCCTAATCTTTGTTCTTTCTTCTTGTGCTACGTCTGGCCACAGCAGGAGCTGAGCAAACATTTGTAGCCATTGTGTAAACAGGAGACTCTCTCTGTTGTACCTCTGACTATGTCCACATACCTTCCGAGTCCATAGCCTAGCAGGCACCTGTCAAGCTGTGTGTCCTACATAAACCAATGAGCTTCTCCCAAGGCCTGGGGTCATAGTACTCACATGTGGATGACAGTTTTTTAGTGGCTCAGATCATGATGTCAGAGTCAGCCTATGTGCAAGCCCAGCCATGCAGCCATGGTCTTGAGTAACTTACCTGGCCTCTCCCAGCCTCAGCATCTTGGCTGTAATGTGGAAACGTTAACAGTTCATAACTCAGAGTTACTATGAGGACTAAGCTGTGTCCTAGAAAGCACCTTAGTATCAACCTTAGGATGTAACAGTGTTCATTACATGTTAACTGTGGCCATTGTCCTGGCAAAAACCAAGAGGGCCCATGGGCAAACTGACAAACATTCGGATCAGGCAATAAAGGGCCAGTGAATGATGGACCTAGCATATGCAAAAGTTAACCAGCAGCACTAACTTTAGAGAGGAAGCCACATGTTATAGTCCACTAAGTCCGAACTCTGGGCTAGGATGTGGTTGGAGAAGGCTCGTGAGGAGATGCAAACTTCTCCATTGGTATGTTAATATATTTACTATGCTGCAGAGTTAGAACTGAAAAAAAGGATATGTTCGACCTGGCAGACTTCAGTTCCTGCTTCCATTCAACAGTCCTGGGAGGCCAACAGTGTCTCTTTCTCAGAAGATAACCCTCAAAGCCACTCAGGGTATCTGGCCCTAGGGAATCTCTTAGCAAGCTGACATAAGCATCAGTGTTGTGTCTTTCTGCTCTAAGCACCATCATCTTTGTGTATAACACAGCTGGAAATGTCATCTGCAGGGCTGCAGCCAGCAAGGACGGCAGCATTCAGAATAGTCTGCCTGGGAACTTAGTGGCCTGGGAGTTTGCAAGTAGATTCCGCAGGTCATGCAAGTCTTGATTAAAAGCCTATTGGGCAGCATTTCACTCGTGTAATTGTCTCATTAACTTATTACTGTCATATTGTCCTCGTTATCTCTTTAAAGCCAACTTGGACCACTGCAATCAGCATAGCCTATGACATAATGTGTGTCCCAGTTGAGTTCTTTGACTTCTTCCACTGACCCAGTGCTCACCATGTGACTTTGGGGACCAGGAAGTGAAAGGATGAGCTGCCTTCTGTGGGGTAGAATCTGGGTCAGAGTCTCAGCGTTGGGGAACTGCTTGCATTTTGCCTCATCACATTGGAATGGTGCTTAACTCGCAAATGAGGAGCTTCTATGATTTTGTTGTTGTTGTTGTTACTCATTGGCCAGATGTTTCTAGAAACTTACAGGACCTGAAGTTGGCTATAGTTGGTATGGTGATAACTATATCAGGATGTCACTAGTCCTGGTTTTTTCGTGTGTACCTGGCATCTCAGAAGATGAGGGCTTTGTGTCACATGTAGAAATGGCATCAAAAGATTTATAGTCAGTAAGGTGATTCACATCCTCACATTCTGCAACTGCAGGACCATCATCTCCCTGTCAGTGTGGGGCAAGGGTAATTTGGAGTAATACAGAGTAATTTACCTGGCCCCTCCCAACCTCAGTGTCTGACTATAAAATGGGAACAATAATAGTTCATAACTCACAGAGTTGCTTTGCAGACTAAGCAATGGCCTAGAATGCACCCTTGGATGTTCATTACGTGCTAGGCAACCACTGATGCTGCCTGTCTGGACTTACATAAATAAGCCATCCTTTGGCAACAAGAAGAACTGCTTTTGTTCTCTGACCCCCTATCAATCAGGGCCTGTAGGCTGAAGTCACTGCAACCTAAATGTTGCAGAGTCAATGATCAGAGGCTTGCTTTGAGTGGTGTGGATGACACTTTATCTCAAGTTCCTGTGTGAACTTCATTTGACAGATCTTCCCATCACTCCAGTGCTGGGCTAACTTCTTGTTGTGGGGAGAATGAATGTTCATGAAGTTCCTGAAGAAGGGTTTCATCCTCATCTCTGTTACTCTTAAAGACACCAGGTTGTTCATCTAATTCATTCAAACCGACAGGTCACAGAATATGACGGCATCAGCCAAGGCTGAGTCTCGGCTGAAAACTTCACAGATAGATTTTCAGGACCTCATAGGCAGAATCTTGTATTTAAAACGAACCAATAATTATCACTGGCAGAAGTGGCTGGATGATCACATTCACTCAACATTCTTTCTTGGAGCAGTCATTAACTGGCAGCACTTAGCTATAGCACAAGTCTACCTGCACCTTTAAATCACGGAGAATCACTCGAAATGAACAAATGAACACATGCTTCCGTAAAGTATGGGGAGATAGGAGATAAAGAGCTAATAACTTTAGCATTGAATTGGTCGGTACTGGAGAGCCCAGCTAACAAATCACTTTGCACAGGGCACTGAGAAGATTTCTTAACTTCTGATGTCGCGGGAACAAAGGTGCACAGAAAGGGGCTTTTCTCAAACTATGAAATCTGGTCTGACTTTCACTTTAAGTTCTGCTACTGTGACCCTCTAAGGATGCCTGTTTTCCTAGTTTTACAGACCACTGAACATTCGGATCGTGCTGGTGGGGGTAGAAGTGTGGAATGACATCGACAAATGTTCGATAAGCCAGGACCCGTTCACCAGCCTCCATGAATTCCTGGACTGGAGGAAGATGAAGCTTCTACCTCGGAAATCCCACGACAATGCTCAGCTTATCAGGTGGGGAGTCCCATCTCCTTCCATTAAAGAAACAATGCCATCTGCACACACTTTCTTAGGCTGTGTCTGAGCAGCCCCAGGCCACATTCCTCTCTACAGAGCACACTGGCTCTTCTAAGGGGTTTTCCAGCCTGTATGAGCAGGGTAGCCACATCCCTAACTGAAATCATAGATCCATCAGGGAAGTCCTTGGGGATGTTCCCCTATAAGACTCCTTTCTTCCTTTTTTCTTTCTTTTTTTTTCATAATAGCATGCTTCTGATATTTTTCTGGTCTTGCTCTTGATAAGATTGTCTTAAGTAGGGCATTTTTAAAAGAGTATTCCCTTTTATTAATAAAGATGTATATGTTTATACAAGATCTAAGTGCAAGGTGCCTGGGGAAGCACCGACTCCTTCGTCTTTGTGAGGTCTCTTCTCTCTGACTTTCCAGGTCAGTGAGTGCTGTTTGCATAGAATCTTGGCCTCATCAGTATGCACCAGGCACCTGTTAGGAACCAGGTCTGTACATTAAACATAACAGTGACCAGCACTAAGTCTTCTTGCTCTGAGAAAACAGAAAAGTAGCAAATGTCAGAGAACGGTAACTGTCATGAAGACACAGATGAAGGGAAGCCTGGCATTACACAGCATGTAGTGAGCTGCTGCAGATACCTCCACATTTAAAAGAAAAGGCAGGTCTCATAATAGCCTGGATGGTGTGGAGTGGATGCTCCCTGAAGCAGCAGATGCTTGCGTGAATCGTTAAGCAGTTTTCGCCATTACCTTTTGCTCTCATGTAACTTAAATCACCAAAGCAAAAATCTTAGATAAAGGGATCCCTTTTCTTTTGCAAGTCAGATCTAGCTTACTGAATGTTTATGAGAAGTGAACAAAATGGTCCTGCCCCATCCATCCACGTGGAGGCTGTCAGTGACCTCTTGTCACTGGCTTTGGCCATTTTCACCAGGGTCCCCCATGAACATCTGTGCTTGCCTCATGTTTTATGCATCGATTAGTCCCGAACTATTAAAAGTACATTTCATGTACTTGGAGTTGGAATTTTTTGTTTTTATTTTTTCCACCAATGGAATCTGTCCAACTTAAACATCTGGAAATAAATTAGCATCTTCTTTAACCTTTTATGTTTACGCGTGTGTAGTTGTAACTGTTCTTGTAGCCCATACATATGAGCAGCTGTGGTATAGAAGCTGAAATTTCTACTGCTGTAAATACGAGGCACAGCTGGCCCTCCACATTTGAGGGGTCCACATCTGTGGGGCCAGCCGACCTCAGAGAAGAGCTATTCAGAGAAGACGTTGCCTCTGTATTGAATATGTGCAGACCTTTATCCCCATCGCTGTTCCCTAAACAATACCATGTAGCAGCTAATTACATGGCACTTACATTGTATGAGATATTAGGAGTGATCCAGAGATTATTTCAATTATATGGGAGGGTGTGTATAGGTTATATGCAAATTCTATGCCATTTTCTATAAGAGACTTGGGTATCTGGGGGCTATGATGGCCTCAGACAGTCCTGAGAATAATACTTCATGGATATCAAAGGTTGGCTATGGTGGAGGGGTAGGAAGAAAAGGGAACAAAAGAAGGAAAGAGGAAGAAAGGGACAGACAGAGGGCAGGAGACCTTTATATGTTTTCCACCTCTGTCCAATTCCCATGGCTGACATATCTAACATTTCAAGCCATGGATGCAGTATCTGTGTTTGGCCAACATAGTGTAAGTCATCCTGTTTCATAAGAGTCCAATAAATAACAGTATTCAATTTTAAGTGTAAATTTGGAATCAAGAGCACTTGTCTGAAGCAGGCCCCTGGTGTGATCAGATTCATGATCAGATTGAGATTCCACACAGGAGGAAACTTATATGGAAACTACGACGTCCCTTCCAGAAACTTCGTCCCCAGTGCCAAGGCTTTTGGTGCTCACTTACTGTACACCAGCTCTAGGGGAGTGATAGCTTTCCTGCTGATTTCAGGTTTGCAGGCTGTATTGCCAGGACGCGTTGAAGGCTTTCAAGTCTGGCAAGCAATACTAAGTTACACAGGAAAGCAAACTTTAGCTACGACAGAAAATCTCCGAAGCTGTCTCGTGCGTTTCCTTTAGCGCACACGATTCTGGTGGTTTCTGGCTTCCCATCAGCAGTCCTTTCAAAGGAACAGCTCCCTGCAGTCTACCAGAAAGCAGGCTGCAATTCACAAATACAGAGCAATCCCTGGTCACTGTGAGTCTGGACTGCAAAACTTTACAGGGATTCTGGGACCATCTTGTAACTGGAAAAAGAGAGTAAAGGGAAAAGATAAAGGTCAGTCCAACAGTCTTCAGGCCGCTGTTTTCATGGCTTGGCACTCTGTTGCAGGCACAGCTGACAGAGTTGAAATGTTGTGAAATGTATCCATTCTGTGTGAGAGTAAAGAAAGTCTTTCCTTTTGTCCTAGTGGGGTCTATTTCCAAGGGACCACCATCGGCATGGCACCTATCATGAGCATGTGCACAGCAGAGCAGTCTGGAGGAGTTGTCATGGTAAGCCAAGGATGCCCAGGAGTTGGCTCCCCTAGTTAAGATTCCCCAGGAAGTCCACTACAGTTAGACCTTTGGAAGTTGGGCCCCTTCTGTTAGTGCTTCTTATATTTAACTCCACTATTACTCCCCTCGTGTTAGTGGGTTATTTTCTCACGTGTGGGGGACAGTTTAGAAGACACAGGGAAGGTGGACGTGGAAGTGTCTCGGTCTAGTCAAACCTGCCCCTTCTGTGGACCTCTTGGCTGAAATATTCCAGTCAGGAACGATCCTTATGTTGGGATGAGCTGGGGCCTGGGGTTGCCCTTTGCACTCAGTGTTTTGGATAGACTGTGGTCTCACCAGCTATTACCGCTCGAGTGATTTTCTGATGGTTCTGTCTCCACGGCCAACAGTCAAAAGTCTGAGGTTTTTCACTACGTACCATTGCAAATGCTTTCCATACCTTCTGGCCAGGGTACAATTTGTCTTTATAATAACCTTATTCTTTGGAAGGCAGAGGCCTAGGTTTATTGCTTTACAGGGGTAACTTTGTCACATACGGACTATATATGTTTGTAAAAGGAAACACAATGAGAGGCATATTTGAGTTTTCTTAAGAATTTAAGAGAGAAGCTTGGATAAGCTGCCCAACAGGGGGGCCCCGCTCCAGCCCTTCAGAGAGTTCTACGAGAGGATTCTCGTAGTGGACTGTCACTTGAAAATCTAGTGTCTACCATGGTACCTGCCCTCAGGCAGGGAGTTTCCTTAGAACCTGATCTTCCATCTGCATTAAACAAACATGCACTTGCCCTCCCAAGAAGTCATGACTTCCTCCACGTCCTTCAAACAGAACATCTCAGAACGTTCAGTTGTAGGAAGGGGTGGAAGGAGTTATATTCTGCTGACTGTTATTTTTTCTGCATACTGCCTAATCTAATCTTCTTAGCGACTGTACATAAACATTTTCCTCCCGTCTGGGTGCAGTGGTAGATAATTTATGCAAGCACGCACTGCGTGGGTAGGCTATGTGGAGGGCCTGCACCCACTCGCTGGACTGCTGCCTTGAATGGGCTCTTCTTGGGTTTCTTTTGAACATGGAAGCCCTGTAGGTGATCCCCACCATGGAAGTCATTGGAAAGTCTGGGTTTTGCTGGTGCCAGGTTAATTTCAAGTCAGATCACAACTGTGTTTTTACAGAACAGACTGTAAAGTTTTAAGAGGGGATAATTTTCAGTTTCATGGTTCCATGGTTAGTTGCTACTGACTTTGCCACTTAAAATCTGGCATAAATATGTTAGGGAGACGAAATGGAATTCTTCACAAGCAAAGCAAACCCTGCCTCCACACAGTGCTGAAGCCTGCTCGTGTCCCACATGACAAGGCTAAAGACTTTCCTCAGCTCATGACTCATTCTGTTTCCATAGAAGCAATTTATCAAGAGTCCCTCTTCAAAATAATACAGGAAAACTTATTTGTTTAGAGAATCTGAGAATGAAGGTGAGAAATAGATGCAAATTGTTGTCATGCTGTGAGTCAAGTCAGACCCAAAGTTAACTGTCAGGGGCTGGAGGGGCTGGAGAGATGCTCGGCCATTGGGAGCACTGGCTGCTCTTGCAGAGGACCTGGGTTTGACTCCCAGCACCCACATGATGCCTAACTATCTTTAACTCCAGTTCCAGAGAATCCGACCCCTTCTTCTGACTTCTGTGGGCATTGTGTACACATGGTGCACTTCCAAACATGCAGGCAAAACACTCACATACATAAAATAAAAATAAAGGGTCTGGAGAGATGGCTCTGGAGCACTGGCTGTTCTTGCAGAGGACCCAGGTTCAGTTCCCAGCACCCACATGGCAGCTAACAACCATCTGTAACTCCTGTTCCAGGGGATCTGACACTCTCTTCTGACCTCCGGGGGCACTGCACAACAGAGGTGCCCTTATATACATGCAGACAATATACTCATACACATATAATTAAAAATAATAAAATATTAATTAATTAATTAATTAATTAACCAAAAAAAGTGCTGGAGAGTAGGCTCAGCAGTTTAGCGCCTGTGCTGCTCTCCCAGAGGACCCAAGTTCGATTCCCAGTTCCCACATCAGGCTGATCACAACCACCAGTAACTCCAGCTCCAGGGACTCCAGCACCTTTTTCTGACCTCTGTGGGCATTGTGCTCACATGCGCACACACACACACACACACACACACACACACACACACACACACACATGCCCACATATATATATATATATATATAATTAAAATAACTATTTTTTAAAAAGAAACAGGCTTCACCAATTGAGATCAGATAACAGCATCTTTACGCGCTCCCCTCCAGAGAAGTATCAAATAGGGTGGAAATGCCATACAGTAGCTCTAATTTCTATAGCATTCATGAGAACAGCAAAATGAACAGCCTGCCCGAATCTCAAACTCCACACTACCATTTCTGTTATTACACCTCTGAAGTTGAACGCATGGATGTTAGGTGTGACTAATGCCTTGCTCAAGGACCCTCAAATCTTAGAGACAGGAGGTAACTGTTAAGAAGGGAATAATTCTCACACAATTAAAAATATGATTTCTTGGACCATTCCCCCATGGTTTTCAAGACAGAGTAAACCATTAATTTTAATGGCTTAAAGCCATGCCTTTGTATCTAAGTGACCTAATAAATTCTTGATTTGGACTTACTATCTTGAAAAGACATTGTGTTCTTCCTCATTTCAAGTGTGTCTTAAGAGGGAGTCTGTTTATAATCATGTCTGTGCAAACAAATGTAAAGTAACTTCACAATTAAAACTGCCGTATTCCGTGTAACAAAATAATCAGCAGTTGGCTCTTCTTTAAGGATGATGTCCTTGAATTTTGTGCTAAAGCATGCCAAGTTCAGCCTTCCGCATTTTTAATTGACAGCATTCTTTCTACCAATGTGAGTTGTTCTTAAGAACGGATTTCCTGAGACATATTTGTAGTGCTTCCTACAACAGGAAACTGTGAAACCGAAACAGAGTAATTTATTCCGAATTTCGTCTATTCTAATAATAGCTTGCTTCCTTGATCTGCCATTGTGTTCTTAGATGGTGGGCTAGAAGGAGAGGTCCTTGCCTTTAACAGACCACCAGTAAATCTGTAAGATCTCACAGGAACGCTTATTCATCCAGAGTCCCCAGAGAAGCTGGAAATATCAGGAATAAGGTTTTGTCTAAAATAATATCATGCCATGACCTGGATACCTAAGGCTTTTATCTCTCCTGAATAACACAAGCCCAGATTCAATCAGGATATACCTTTCCCCCAAGGTGTGACTACCTTTTCCAAAACTCCATTCGTGGGCAACATATCTAAAAAAATCATATCTACTAATTAATGAATTTTGGATTAAATATATATTTTTAGTTATTTTTAAGTATCCACTTGAGCCAAGATATCCAAGCATTCCGTTAAGCTGGAGATGGCCAAGCAGTGTTTGCTGATGGAGAAACTGTTTTCCACAACCAAGTTAAAGTGTACGTGAATCCCACAATTCCACCAGAGATGCAGGATGTCTGAATCCATTTCCAAAGACAACCTGCCACACCAAAGACTGGCAAAGTGAGACATAAACTGATCCTAACCTTAGCTGAGTAAATCTTTCAGTCGTGGTTGGCTGTTACTGTGAGTTGCCAAGAACTTTCCCAGAATCCACCCTTACCAGGTAGACAGGAAGAGGCAAGGTCAGCCCTACCTGATTGGGGTTTATTTAGAACCAACTTTTGGTCACCATTATCTCAGTCAAGGGAGAGGGGGCATAAGCATGAGCTTTGTTTCTTTCATAAGGAACAACTTTGTGCTTCACTCAGTGATGGTTTGTGAAAAAGAAAATGATGCTGCAGAAATGGGCTCAATGAAATAGGCCAAGTTATTTTCCAAGTTCAAAGTAAGATAACAGGGGTCTTTATTGGACCTTTCTGGAAAATACAATTAAGTCAAGCATTAATGATGGGGAAATGTCAAGGGGAGGGAAGACAGGAAACAAAAGGCCAAGCAGATGTGAACTGTGTGTCTGTGTTGTTCTCTTTGAGGACCATTCAGACAGCCCCCTCGGTGCTGCCGTGACCCTGGCACATGAGCTGGGCCACAACTTCGGGATGAACCATGACACGCTAGAGAGGGGGTGCAGCTGCAGAACCTCGGCGGAGAAAGGAGGATGCATCATGAACCCTTCCACTGGGCAAGTATCAGACTCCCGAGGCCTGGAGGGTTAGGGGTGTGTAGCTTAAGGCACATGCTGAGAAACAGCTGAGCAAAAGCAAAAACGCCCCTGGTTTTCTGGTTAAAGTAGCCATGGAAACTTCCAAAAGGAAATCCTTGTCCACTCAGGAGAGTCAACTATGTGCTCTGGGAAGTCATGGGAAGTCAGCTTCAAAGCCAATGGCCAAGGCTGGCCCCTTCCCTGGGAAGCAGTGGGGATGGATGCTATCTTTGTTTAGAAATCGCAAATTATCCTTCACGCCAGTACCTGTTTCTGATCTCCTCCCAGTGACTGGAGGAGCCAGACCTCTGAGAGCCTTGCAAATCCATCCTATAAAGTCGAGATGGCTTATATGTCCTAGAGGGTCCTGGAGCGTACTGGTACAAAAGGCCAAGCCTCTCCCCTCCTGTTGGGTGGGAGGGTTGTAGTGTCCCTGTTGACATACTGCTTCACCAGTATTAAGAGGCTTGAATGAAATCGCTTCCCTGCTTCTGTAATTAGGTATTCCTTTTCATTCAGTGCCTTTCTGAAACTCTAGACTTGGTTCAAATGGGAAAAATAGAAGCTGGTTCCACCACAGAAGCCCTTCAGTGGGGTGGAAACAGATACAACCTGAGGTGACTCAAGTTGCAGATGTCTTCTTACAGCACTCGGAGCCTGTCCCAAACAGGAGCATCAGGCTGATTTAGGGGTAGTTCTAAAGGAACATCACACCAGGCACAGTGTCATGCCCAATTAAACCCCGAGATAGACACTCCTCTCATGGAGTGTCCCAGCCAAGCCTGCTGTCTCAGCTTGTTGAAAGGTAACTTTAGGAGCAACATTGAATGTTGACTGAATGACCCAATGATTGGGTTCTGTGAAGCTGAGTCGTGCTGGCAAGTGACATGGTATGGGGTCCGGGGGACATGTCCAACAACGCTTACAAGTCCCAGAAGTGTGGAAGAATGTAGTCTTCCCTTTGCAAATAATACCTGGGGGGCCTCCTTCCCAGGTTTGTGGGACATCCAGTGGCCTCTGCAGCAATGGCTGGGCAGAACCACACAGCCCACATCAAGGCACTGCCAACCCAGTATGAGCTGCTGGTGTGGTGTCCTCTCACAGCTCCCTCGTTTCCACCTCCCTTTGATGCCCTCAACCTTCAGGGGACACTTTTTCATTCAAGAGTCTGTCTTTTTTAATATTTTATTATTTTTTATTTTATGTGTATGAGTATGTTGCTTGCATGTGTGTAAGTGCACTTGTGTCATACAATGCCTGAAGAGGCCAAAAGAGGGAGTTGAATCCCCTGGAACTGGAGTTATGGACAGTCGTTAGCCACCATGTGGGTGCTGGGAACCAGATTCTTTCTTAAGCATTATTCTATGAAGTCACCGAGACCACAGTCAGCCTGTGATGACAGAAACCCAAAATTTTCTGTATGGAAAATGAAAATAGCTTAAGCCAACATCCACAGCAAGCAAAGCATTTCAGTATCTCAGGTACGTCCAGTCTTCAGCCTGTGGGCCACATGCAGCCTAAAATCACTGCGGCCCAGCTCCAAACTGTAAACCTACTTAAAACTACATGAGACTTCCTTTGCGATTTTTTTAAAACAACCCAGTTGTGCAGTTCTCAAATGTAAACTTTGTAGTTGACAGTATCACATCACAGTATCAAAAGGTTGAACATGCCTGCTGGATACTAACCTTGCTCTCTAAGGGGAAGGGTAATCACCCTGAAACATAACATGCTCTTTGTACAAATTCAAGCAGGAGAAAACGGTTGGACGTTAGGGAAGGAGCTCCTTCTGAGAGCATGAGGTTGGCCTGGGGCTTGCATGTGCTTTCTGCCTCACCACCCCAGGGGAACTTGCCGCCCTAGGAAATATGCTGAGTGGCCTGGTGGGAGACAGGTGGGAGTCGGCCTGCAGCAGGGTGGTCTTTGTGCCTTCTCATTCTTGATGACCTCATTCAAGGAACACAGCAAATGCATTCCATTCCTGTGATTAGCCCATGGACACGCACACATTTGCACCCATGCCTCCAGAAACGGTCTCCAGGGACCAACAAGACCATGTCACCAGCCAGCATGGCTAAGTGCTTTCAAACTCTTGATAAAAGAAGGAAAAGCCTAGATCAGGAACCCTGGGTTGGATGGAAGAAATTTGATCATCCCATTCTGACCCAATTATTCTTAGTCATAAAGGAAAATGAGCAATCCCTGTGCCCTCATGTGCCTCCTTAGCAAAATGCGTGGGTCCATCGGAACATCCTTTTTGCCTCCCAGCCATCCACCCACCCATCTGACTTCTCAGGCATTAAACACATATGTCTGCCTCTGTGTTCATATTTGTGAGGAGTGCACAGCTCTGCAGACCTGCTCTCCAGCACTCTTGAGAGTTTGTGTGAGATCTTTCTCCTTGGCAAGTGTCCAGAGCAGGGCCGAACACTGCGAGCCAAACTACCCTGGAGCTATTTGAACATCTCAGGTAGAAATGATATTGTTAAGAGTTCAGCAAAACAGTTAGAAGGCTCCCCTCCCCTACCAGGGGTTTACTAATAGCCTTTATTTGATTTATACCTTATTAGCAATTTCTGAGTTTTCTCTTTTGCTGAGCTGGTGCTTTCGTGTAAATCTTTGTCTACTTGGCTCGTTTATGACCCCCATTCCTGTCCAGAGAGTGGTGTTTTTAATTTTCTCAAATGGAAAGCAACTTCCTAAGCAAGTAGGTGAATTAATCACAAAATCCCATAGGAGGAGGAGGCTGAGAGGCCCAGCCAGCCCCCCGTCATCCATCACCCATGGTGGAATTTCCCAGGCCGCTCCAGCATTATCTCAGAGTAGTAGTTCCCTTACTTCCTGGGGTCCCTGGAGAGGGGGGGCGTGAATTGAATGAGATCATGTGTCTCTGTAAATTATAAATCACTTCACAAAGGCAGGGAGGAGTGTTAGTGTTATTTAGTGCAGGGATCAGCACTATCAGAAAACCAACCCTTTCTCCGCGTCCCTGCTCACAGTTGTAGGACTCCCGTCTGGTTACCATGTTACTGTGGTCCGGCTTCTCTGTGGACTGCTGATTTGAAACTGATCCGAACACCAGCCTCCTCTGGTTTCTTCCTGCCTACTGATGGATCCACAGGTGGAAAGCGTTAAAAATGTTGGTCAACTCAAGTCTGAACCCGAAGGAGACTCAGAAAGAGACGAATCAGTGGCAGCCTTACTAGTGAGGGCTCAGAATCTAAAAGAAACATCAGAAATAGAGTCAAGGGAGACGGCATGTTCCCAAGTTCCTGGGTTAGACCTTATCTTGGTATTGCAGAGTCCTAACTCTAAAAACATGAACTGCCTCTCATGCCTGACAAATGGGCCTGTGAACAAGGGCACGGACTGGAGTCCTGTGCAAACTTGTATGTCATGACTTCCCTTGCACACTAGCAGTGGCTGGAGGGAGTATCCCTGAGGTTGTCTCATTAATCACTGAGAGCCTTTGAGTGTGTGTGTTTTATGTCTTCGGAGAGTGAACATGTGATACCTGTCTTGGAAATTACTCTTTGGTCAGTGTGGTGTCTGGGGGTTCGTGTGGGAGTTGAACTCAGCAGTTAATGGTTAACTGTCCATTAACCAGCTTCCTGCAGCCCTTGGTCTTCCAAGGCTGAGTGGGTTGCATTCACAGGACCAAGGAAACATGAATGCTTTCAGTAAAGAGTCTAACAGTAAGTGTGACTGCGCAGAGGGGGAAAACGTAAGATTTACATTCAAAGATTAGCATCACCGATTCCTCTGTTTTGCAGGAAATTTAGTATTGAGAGTTGGGCACTGAGGCTGTTTCAGAGAAATGCCTTGGTATTGGCCACACGTTACACTGTTTAATGGACACTGAGGGCATAATGGTGACCAACACAGACATGTCTTGTAATTGTAGGACTTAAATAGTGTAGGATATACAGTGGGGAAACCCAGCAAACAGAACACTGCAGGTGGGAGAATCGTCATGGGTCAACGTGCTGAGAATAAGAGACTGCTGAATGTTCAGCCGTGAACGCAACATCAGCAGAAAGAACGGAAGAGCCAGAGGAAGGAGGGTGTGGTGTGAGGTGCCAACTTCTCGGCATGATATGGCTGTTTCACTCTTGAACCCACCGTAGCTGTGATTACTTACTGGTTTAGGTTGCTTCCCTCTCGTTGCTATTAAACACTGACCAAAAGCACCTTGGGGAGGAAAGGCTTTATTCCATCTTGTACTTCTAAGGCACAGTCCATCTTTGAGGGAATTCAGGCAGGAACTGAAGCAGAGCACATGGAGGGACGTTGCTTACTAGCTTCCTTCCTCTGGCTTGATCAGCTACCTCACTTATTCAGCCCAGACCCACGTGCCCCAGGAGGCACCACCCACAGTGGACTGGGCCCTCCTACATCAAGTAGCAATGAAGAAAATGCCCCACAGGCTGGTCTGATGGAGGAAATTCCCCAGTTGAGGTTCCTTCCTCCCAGATGACTCTAGCTTGTGTCAAGTTGACAAAATCTAAGCAGCATAATGAAGCTGTTGTCACCTTCAGTGTGGAATCTTGAACATTTCTAAAACAGTCAGTGGTAGATTCTGTGACAATGGCCTCAGAGTCAAGAAACACAAATTAAGGTATTTGTGATGAATCAAGGAACCAAAGCGGCCATGGTCCCGAGCCCCTGGTCACCCTCGTAACCTCTGCACACGTTTCCCCTCTGCTGGGCACCCTCCTTCCACACCTGCACAGTATCTACACAAGATCAGGCTTGTCAACATCCTGTTTGTGGAGTGGGCCAGGGCTCATAGGGCCCAACCCTTCCCTGTGCATTTATGAGCATCTAATGAGGTTGATGAGGAGAGGCATTTTCTTTAGTGGTGGACTAGAAAGGCATCTACACTCCTGGAAACAAACCCTTACCCATGTTCCTGTAAGCAGCTCCTAGTGATACTCACTGAGTCACTAAAACAACAACAAAAGCAGCATGGAGAGGCT